TACCCTCAGGCACAGCCAAGAAACCACCCAACACACAGCTCAGGTTTTCCCAGGCACACAGCCTAGGAAATTCTCTGAGGCCACATGGCAAGAAAAAAGTGCCTTGTTTAACAGCTCGATTCATTTTCCTGACCACTATAATTCAGTATGTGTATTGTCAAATTTAACAATACTGTGTATTCTTTGTTTTTAGTGGCAGAGTGGTTCAATACTTTTTTCTCAAGTAGTGGCCCTTGGGTATATCAGATACTGTTCATGGTCAGTTCCACAGAAGGATCCAAAGCAAACCTCACTGATGGAAATGTAACAAGATGAGCTCAAGAAAACCTGTTGTAAGGGAAGAAACGATCCATGATGCCAGGACCCAGAAAACACAACCAAGGAAATGGGAAGGAGGTGGCTCCTGAAACGGACAGGGAGGGAAGATAAAATGTCCCACCCTCAAATCATCCTGGGACAAACAAACCCTCAGGCCTAACTGGAAAAAGCTACAAAGAGGTAGGGCAAACTCAGGACCCCCTCAAAAAATCTGCTGCTGACAAGTGTGTTAGGGACAGAGCTTACAACCCTTTATCTGGGGTCCAAAATGAGAGAGAGAAGGAATGGAGACTGCCAATCTCATCCAATGCCCCCCCTCCTCATCTCATTGCCTGAAGCCCCTGGAAACACCACAAAAACCAGGAAATGTCAGAGCAAATGTAGTCTCACAGGCAACTGTAAATCTGAAAAAAGCAGCCTTGGCCACCACCCATCTCTCAACTAGTGGGAACAAAATTGAAATCTGGAGAATGCTAAAAAGCAGCCAGAGCAGAAGGCACAAAAGGCCCCCAATTAAGAGTACCCAAGAGTAAGAGTAAGATCCCATTAGGTAGCAGAGGCACACCAGCTGGAAAGCAAGGCACAGATATATACAGAATGGAGCCACAGCCTACTGGGCTGCCCAAGGATCAGAGGCCAACTCCACCCTATTGGGGCAGGAAGTGGGCAGTAGCTACAAACTAGAGAAATACAGAAACTCACAGATAAGCCATATCATGGCACAAAAAGATGGAGTGAGGAGAAACTAGTCATTCAGTCTGAGAGAGGCAGGCCTGCCAGATCTAAGGAAAATGATTCAACTAAGCAATTAAATGTGAAACCCCAGCTGTAAACACCCTTACTGGAAAGAAGGGCATTTTAGGCAATGCATATAAACAATCACTTGTGTAACCCTAGCACAACCTTGACAAAAAGCACAAAACTCCAGCACTCATACAGAGTAGGGCTAGGCACAATCATAATACTGTACAAGCACACAGCTACTTGCTAACCTCCCTATCAAGAGGCCTCATGGTGGAGAACATGACTCGTGCACTTCCTGGAAGTGAGGAGACTTGAGAAGAGTCAACTTGCATGGAAAAACCCAAAGCCCTCACAGAAGGTATCACTGTTCAGGGAGGGAAAATGCAAGTTGATTATCGAGGATGGTAACCTTGACCCTAAGTCAGTAAATTACAAAGTTAGACTATACTCAATGTGGGATGCATAAAAACACTATCAAGAAAAAGAAGGGAAAACGATAATGAAGTAATGTTCCCTGCCAGAACAAGTGTTCGATGGATAGCTAACATCACATAGCTCTAGACACAAGGCAAAGAACAGACCCCTGTCATAGGTTTGCTTCCCATCCACTGAGCAGGCGAGTAAGTGAGATAACATGCTGGGTGGAACCCAGAGGAATCTGGGCCACCATCTAGAGGCAGACAAGTGCAGCATGGTATTTATCGTCCCTTATTTAACCCAGGGTTACTGATTTACTTCAAACAGTGCCTTGTTTTATTGTGCCTTTCCTTTTTTGATGGGGTTTACTCAGGTTTGGGTTGACCTCTGATTCCCAAGCTCGCTTTTAACTGCCTCATACCAAGAGCCAAATTCTGGTCCTGGCAGGCATAGCATACCATGACCGGTATACAGCGGGTCTCAGAAGCCAAGCACATTTCCCAAGACTTGGCTGTACCAATGCATAAACTCGGGAAGCTACTGAGGAGGTCTTCTAGAAATATATCAAATTTGCATAGTACAAGATTCAAAAATAGGTCATTCTTTCAGAAAAACATTACAGCATTTATTAAATAAATTTGTAATGTGTGATTAACTGGTTCACCACACATTATATAGCTGTAAAGAATGATATAATACCAGATTTAGTGTTTTTGTCAAAAGAAATGCTTAAAAAAAAAAAAAATTATATAATATATATACTGTATATATATATATATATATATATATATATATATATATATATATATATATATATATATATATATATATGTCGTACCTAGTAGCCAGAACTCACTTATCAGCCTACTATGCAAGGCCCGATTTGCCTAATAAGCCAAGTTTTCATGAATTAATGTTTTTTCGTCTACCTAACCTACCTAACCTAACCTAACCTAGCTTTTTTTGGCTACCTAACCTAACCTTACCTATATATATAGGTTAGGTTAGGTTAGGTAGGGTTGGTTAGGTTCGGTCATATATCTACGTTAATTTTAACTCCAATAAAAAAAAATGACCTCATACATAGTGAAAAGGGTAGCTTTATCATTTCATAAGAAAAAAAATAGAGAAAATATAATAATTCAAGAAAACTTGGCTTATTAGGCAAATCGGGCCTTGAATAGTAGGCTGAGAAGTGAGTTCTGGCTACTAGGTACGACATATATATATATATATATATATATATATATATATATATATATGTCGTACCTAGTAGCCAGAACTCACTTCTCAGCCTACTATGCAAGGCCCGATTTGCATAATAAGCCAAGTTTTCATGAATTAATGTTTTTTCGTCTACCTAACCTACCTAACCTAACCTAACCTATCTTTTTTTGGCTACCTAACCTAACCTTACCTATAAAGATACGTTAGGTTAGGTTAGGTAGGGTTGGTTAGGTTCGGTCATATATCTACGTTAATTTTAACTCCAATAAAAAAAATTGACCTCATACATAGTGAAAAGGGTAGCTTTATCATTTCATAAGAAAAAAATTATAGAAAATATATTAATTCAGGAAAACTTGGCTTATTAGGCAAATCGGGCCTCGCATAGTAGGCTGAGAAGTGAGTTCTGGCTACTAGGTACGACATACATACATATACATACATACATACATACATACATACATACATATATATATATATATATATATATATATATATATATATATATATATATATGTCGTACCTAGTAGCCAGAACGCACTTCTCAGCCTACTATGCAAGGCCCGATTTGCCTAATAAGCCAAGTTTTTCTGAATTAATATATTTTCTCTATTTTTTTTCTTATGAAATGATAAAGCTACCCATTTCATTATGTATGAAGTCAATTTTTTTTTATTGGAGTTAAAATTAACGTAGATATATGACCGAACCTAACCAACCCTACCTAACCTAACCTAACCTATCTTTATAGGTTAGGTTAGGTTAGGTAGCCGAAAATGTTAGGTTAGGTTAGGTTAGGTAGGTTAGGTAGTCGAAAAACAATTAATTCATGAAAACTTGGCTTATTAGGCAAATCGGGCATTGCATAGTAGGCTGAGAAGTGCGTTCTGGCTACTAGGTACGACATATATATATATATATATATATATATATATATATATATATATATATATATATATATATATATAAATATATATATAAATATATATATAAATATATATATAAATATATATATAAATATATATATAAATATATATATAAATATATATATAAATATATATATAAATATATATATAAATATATATATAAATATATATATAAATATATATATAAATATATATATAAATATATATATAAATATATATATAAATATATATATAATATATATATATATATATATATATATATATATATATATATATATATATATATATATATATATATATATATATATATTTATATATATATATATATATATATGTCGTACCTAGTAGCCAGAACGCACTTCTCAGCCTACTATGCAAGGCCCAATTTGCCTAATAAGCCAAGTTTTCATGAATTAATTGTTTTTCGACTACCTAACCTACCTAACCTAACCTAACTTTTTCGGCTACCTAACCAAACCTAACCTATAAAGATAGGTTAGGTTAGGTTAGGTAGGGTTGGTTAGGTTCGGTCATATATCTACGTTAATTTTAACTCCAATAAAAAAAAATTGACCTCATACATAATGAAATGGGTAGCTTTATCATTTCATAAGAAAAAAATTAGAAAAAATATATTAATTCAGGAAAACTTGGCTTATAAGGCAAATCGGGCCTTGAATAGTAGGCCAAAAAGTGAGTTCTGGCTACTAGGTACGACATATATATATATATATATATATATATTAATAAGAAACTGATTATTGTATTCTGTTAAGTACATACAATACTGAAATGTTATGAAAACATTATTATACAGGAGTGGGGAAGGGATGTACTATGGTATACTCAGGCTTATGACACAAGTGACAAATTAATGTACATTCTGCACATATTGAAATGTGTATGGAACCTTTACAATATTGGCTTTCATTTAACATATTAAGGTCATCACATTGGGAAACAATGAGAACAAGATTAATGCTAATATTTAAATTAGCAAATGTAAAGTGTTTGCCATAACTTATGGATTATTTAGTTTTCTCTTGCAAACAGTTGTTTTCATTAGTAACAGCATTTATACTTGCATCAAAATTGTCACCCAAATGCCATTAATAATACATCAGATTTATTTATTACCATTTGTTACTTTATGTTATCATGAATAATTTCAGAATTGTCTGGTATATTTTTGTGACCATGATATGTAATAACATGACAAGCTGCATTGGTGTGTGTGTTGAGCTCACAGCCCACTAATGACTGCAGCACACATCCAGAGGTATGCCATAATGGCCACAAGCTGAAGCAAAGTACATCAACGATGTAACCATTAATATCAAGTGGCTGGTAATTTAAGAAAATACAAGAAAAATTTCTTCAGCTTTTAATTTAACCTATATCTAAACCCCTTGCCATTGTAATATAATATACAGTACTTTCAAGCAAAGCAAACATTTAAAAACAAGTTTTTTTTTACACCAATATAGGGCAACAGCAGGATGCTCCACAGGTACCTTAGACAACAGTTAAGTTGTAATATATTAACTTAAACCAGTTGTCTCTCTATCATAACCTGATAACCTCAATCTTGGCTGCCAAAGTAAAAACGTTAATATTTGTTCGTTAATGTACCTTTGTCTGCAAGCCTAGAATGTTGCATCAATACTGTATTACATAATTGAAAATATTTATTATTACAGTATACATAAAATCTATTAACATCAAAATCAAACTTGTGGCTACTGCGTTATATAATGGTTAAATAAATTAACATTATAATCAAAGTCAATTCTTGATTGTCTGTCTCACAGATTTTCAATATTTAAACAAGGTACTGTATAGCAAACAATCACAGCAATTCATTTTAAAACAGAATTGATTATCTAAAATTTATCCTGCATATACCCATTAACATTGCAAAACCTATACATTAGTTATTAATGTAATAACAAATACCATTTTATCCCAGATAGTGCAGGGTTACCAGTCTATTACTACTATGCCTCATAATTCTACATAAGACATAAGGTAGTGTTAGCTGGTGTTAGTAGCACTGGTTGTGACCGGTCTAATTGGCAGAGGACTAAGTTTTTCATTTGTGTATCTGGAAATTAAGAGAATAAAATTTAGAATTAATTGTTACAGTGAGGATATTACACTAAAATTAAATTTAATACTTACCCGAGTTTACCCGAGAGTCAGTGGCCTCGACTAGACCAGGAAGCCGGTGGCTTGTCGAAGGGCCCACCCATTTGCTTTGATTTTTTTAGCGTACTATAAACCCAGAAGAGTTTTGGCATTAACGGTTTTGGTGGGTAGGCAGTTCTATGGGTTAATAACACTGTGGGTGAAAAATTAAATGTTCTCAGTCCTACATTATGGCTTGTTGAGCTTGAAACTGTTGCTCCTAGTTTGTGTTACACCTGACCTTTTGAAGAAATTTTCCAGATCAATATCCTTCAATTTGTTCAGTGTTTTAAACGTTTCAATAAGATTCACCCTGTCATGCCTGGTTTGTAGTGTTGTTAGCCCTGAGGCCCACAACCGTTCCTGATACGTGAGTTGACTTAGCTCTGCAATGATTTTTGTTGCCTGGTGTTGCACTTTCTTCAGAGCAGCTATATCTTTCTTTAGATGAGGTCTCCATGCTTGAATACAGTAATCCAAATGGGGGCACACCAGAGATTTATACAACTGAATCACTACCTTTTTTTCCTTGAAGTCAAAGGTACGCTTATTCCAAGTGTTTGGTTAGCTTTTTTGACTGCTGTTCCTATCTGCTGTGCCACTTTCACTGAGTGGTAGATTTTACAACAACAAATACAAATACAAATATTTATTCAGGTAAAGTACATACATACAAGTTAAGATACAAAAGTTGATGGATTTATAGATAGAGCTAGTACATACAATGCCTAAAGCCACTATTACGCAAAGCGTTTCGGGCACGAAAAACACTAAGACTAAAACTTAATACTAGTTGAAATTAAAGTATAAATTGTGTTGAGAAAAAAATAGGAAAAAAAAAGGAAAAAAGGGGGGGGGGAACATGGCAGAAAAAAAGCAAAAATACAATTTGGTCAACAAACAGCATTGTTTAAAATCATAGACATGGGTTGACATTTAGGGATGAGGTAGGTTACATTAATTGAGTTAATTAGGTAGTACTTAGTTTTTATCTTAAACTGGTTGGGAGAGGTACAGTCTTTAACATAATTGGGAAGGTCATTCCACATTTGAGGTCCCTTGATTTGTAAAGCATTTCTAGTTTGACTAAGTCGTACTCGTGGAATATCAAATAGGTATTTGTTTCTGGTGTGGTGCTCATGGGATCTGTTACAACCTTCTAGGAAGCTTCTAAAGTCAGGATTGACATTACAGTTCAGCATTTTATATATATATATACAGTACATAAAATACACATGAGAGGATGTGCAGTGACTTAATATCTAACATATTCAGATATTTGATTAAGGGTATCGAGTGATGTCTGGAGCCAGAGTAGAGATATTGTCCTAATAGCAGCTTTGTGTTGAGTAATTAGAGGACGTAAATGATTTTGGGTAGTAGAACCCCCAAGCACAAATACCATAGTTGAGATAAGGATAGATGAGAGAGTAATAGTGTGTCACCAGGGCAGGGCGAGGTACATAATATCTGATCTTAGAAAGAATGCCAACAGTTTTTGAAACTTTTTTTGATATATTTAGAATGAGTCCCTGGAAATTCAGCTTGCGGTCAATGAGAACGCCGAGGAATTTGCCACCTACTTTGTTACAAATTTGGGTATTGTTAATCCTGAGATTTATTTGATTTGAGGATTTATTGCCAAACAAAATATAGAAACTTTTGTCAATATTGAGGGTGAGTTTGTTGGCAGTTAGCCAGTGATGGACTTTATTTAGCTCAGTATTCACTGTGACATTTAGAGCAAGGGGGGTCAGGACTGGAGTAAATGAAGGTCGTGTCATCAGCAAACAGAATTGGTTTGAGATGTTGGGAGGCATTTGGAAGGTCATTAATGTAGATGAGAAAGAGGAGAGGGCCAAGTATGCTGCCCAGGGGAACACCAATGTTGATGGGTAGGGTGGGAGAAATTGAATTATTCACAGAAACATATTGGAGCCTGTCAGTAAGGTAAGACTTAAGGTACTGCAGGGAGATAACTCCCTGCAGTACTGACTCTGACTCCCTTCCCCTGACTCCATAATGTTGTAATTTAAGAAGAAGGTTTTGGTGGTTGACAGTGTCAAAAGCCTTACGCAGGTCCACAAATAACCCAATAGGGAACTTATTTTTATCAAGAGCTGCATGTATCAAGCTAATCATACAAACAAGTGCATCGTTAGTGCTTTTTTGGGGTCTGAAGCCATATTGACAAGAGCTAAGTATATTGTGTTTGGCTAGATAAGAGTAAAGCTGCTTGTAGATAAGTTTTTCAAATATTTTAGACAAGTTTGGCTTGGTTTAGTTTGGTTTGGTTTAGACAAATTTTGACTCCAAGGCCCTTTTCCTCATCAATCTGCTGTACTGAAATGTTATTAATTTGGTAGTTATGACATGGGTTGTTGTGCCTCACATGCAGGATCTTGCATTTGTCAATATTAAAAAAGCATCTGACCATTTGTGGCATTCCTGCAGATCTCTTTGTAAGGCTTCAATATCATTATCATTTCCCACTTTGCCATAAATCTTTGTGTCATCTGCAAATTTTTTTTTTTTTTTTTTTTTTTTTTTTTTTTGAGATATATACAAGAGTTGTTACATTCTTGTACAGCCACTAGTACGCGTAGCGTTTCGGGCAAGTCCTTAATCCTATGGTCCCTGGAATACGATCCCCTGCCGCGAAGAATCGTTTTTTCATCCAAGTACACATTTTACTGTTGCGTTAAACAGAGGCTACAGTTAAGGAATTGCGCCCAGTAAATCCTCCCCGGCCAGGATACGAACCCATGACATAGCACTCGCGGAACACCAGGCGAGTGTCTTACCACTACACCACGGAGACTGTAAATCTCCGTGGATGATGATGTGGTTTATAATATTCTCATCTTGTTATTGATGTATATGACAAAAAGAGGTGGCCCCTGTAGTACTCCACTTACCACATTTCTCCAATCAGATTCATTCCCATTTAGCATCACTCTTTTGTTTTCTTTGTCATAACCATTGTGTTATCCATTCTAGCATTCTTCCATTTATTCCATGAGCCTGTAATTTCCTTGTCAATCTTTCATGTGCAAACTATTGTATGTGAAAACTGCATGAAATAATGAGCTTTCTGTCATGTCAGGAAACAGCACATCAGATTTATCAACATCTATATTAATTTACATATATTGTGACGTAATGTGCACAGTATAAGAGAAAATCTACAATCTATAATTCTCAAAAACCATGAGAAATGGGAGGAAATCTGAATTTTTTTTAAGTATTTTAAACTTTCACCTTAACACTTAAACTGCAAAATATTTCATATGACGTGTTGAGTAACTGACGCGAAAGTGCACAGCACTTCATATGACGTTTTGGAGCACCGCGCAAGATTTAAACGGCCCGTGGCTACATGGGGCTCACATCAGCTTCTTCAGGGCTCTTGTAAATAGACGCTACAGTATTTAAAAAAAAATCATGGGCAACATTCTCGGGTGAGAAAGCCTCAGTACTGAGTAGCAACCAAAGCTGGCACATGCAGCATGAGCTCACAGCACTGCTGCTCAGCTTGTGACCACAGCATCGCCTAAAAATTTTAAAAATATATGTAACTGGTATTATTTAGCGCTGATAGTATTACAGAAGACCCCAAAGAACTGGAAGAGTCTGCCCTCACAGCAGAAAATACTCAAACCAGTTATTAAGGGGAGGGGGGGAAGAAAGGACCAAGGTGTTAAAGATATCTCTACAATCAATTACAGAACTAGATGGAAGATAAGGTTACTCTTTTGAAAACAAATAATGCCTTCACCGCTCCTGGGAAATACTGTATGTTTATTCATAAAACCAGCGTTGAATGTAATGAAGCGCCATTTTCTGGGTAAGCCCTGGAGGCTCCCTGAAGCTATCCGAACTTATATTTGCTATATTAGTTTGGGGTCATCATTCACACAAGTTCTTGTGCCTATGCCTACCGGGGACCACGAGCCAGAACCTGACCCCCCTCAGAGAGGCACGAGGAGCAATGTCCTATAGAAACCCCCATGTGGTTGGAAGCATTCTATGTCTGAGATTGAAGGAGTCAGACACCCAGAAAGGTAGGCACCCCAAAACAAACCCTATCTGGTTAAAATATTGGTACTGAAAGCTGAACTGTTGGACAGAACTCCCCCAAACGAAAATTGAACAAACGAGCGTGACGTCACAACCATCACTGCACTGTTGTCTGTGCAGCTTCTCCCTCCCTGGGAGGGGGAAGGGGGAGCCCCAGACCCCTGCGCTGGCTATCCACACTCCTAGTTCTGAGCCTGGATGTCAAAACTCGTGAAAACCGCCAAACCAGAGGCAGGGAGGGTTGCCGGGGAGCCTCCTTGTCTCACCCAGAAAATGGTGTTTCATTACATTTAATGCTGGTTTTCTGGGGGGGAGCCCCTTCAGCTCCTCGGAGCTACTTAAGCAAAGATAAAACGAGGGACTTACCCGGGAGGCGGGTGCCACTCGCTCTTGAACTCGAAGTCGAGACAACTGGCTGCAACTGCCAACCCAATGAGACATTATGTCACATTGACTAGGGCCAGAAACATTAATTAGGTAGTGAGCAGCCAGGACCCTCTTCGACCTCCAAAAACCCCGTGCCTGAATGTCAGCTCAAGACATGTTATTGAAGATACCAGCCCAAGACATGTTTCCGAAGACAGGAGCCAAAACAGCAAACTTACGAACGTCGTGGGCATGAGGATAAACCGCAGGCTGGCTGGACCAAATAACCATGTGGACGACCTGAGAGACCCAAACCCCGGAACAGGGAAGAAGAAAAACCGGATCAACCCAAAGCGTGTCCCCGGCCACTGAGGCCATTGGCGCACAGGTAACAGTGAAGAACCGCAACCGGACACAACACATGATGCACCCCCAGCCGTACCAACCAAGCATCAACAACCCAAGGACCCCTCCAGAAATCAGCAGTCTCATTCTTCGCCAGAAAAGGCTGCAACCAAACAAACCTACAACTAGGACCAAAAGAGCAACAACCACTGCGCTGGAGGAGAGCATGAAGCTCCCCAACCCGACCCCCAGAGGCCAATGGCAACAGGAAAAAGAGCCTTTGCAAAACAATCTTGAACTGAAGGGGCCACAACAAACCGAGGAGAAGAGAGAAAAGAGCACCCGGTCCAACAACCAGGATGGCTCAGGTGGTGCATGAGCAGGCCAGAGGTAAAACAACGCACGAGACAGCTTGCTGAATGGAGCAGACGTAACATCCACCCCGAAAGCAAGCTGAAGCGGCTCGGCCAGCATTGCACAATACGAGGCAAGAGTATTCAGCATAAGATGACGGTCCTGAAATAACCAAGACAGGAAGGACAAGACAACCCAGTCTGAAACAGAAGAAAACCTACGTAGGGACAAGAAATAACAAAAGGACCGCCAGGAAACTTCATACTGCCACCAAGACAAGACACGCAGGTAGGACACCATCAATGAAGCCACCCGCTCACCATATAAATGGTGATAGCCCCGGCGTCAGAAAAACCAGGCGCGAAGACTGAAGGAGAAAATCGAACCAGCTACGTAAAGGCGGAACCACGGGAAGACCCCCGGGTTCAGACACCGAGCAAGCATCACCTGAAACCAATGCTGGGCCGGCCACCAAGGGGCCAACAGGACTACTCTCCCTTGGTAAGTCTCTAAGCGAGCTATGACCTGGAGTAACAGCGGAACCGGGGGTGGGGGAAAGAGGTACAGGTAACCCCACCTCGACCAGTTATGCCTGAAGGCATTGACCACGATGGCCTCGAAGTCGGGGAAGGGTGCCACATATACCAGGAGAACCCTCGATCACGCTGACTTGAAGATGTTCACCTCTTACGGATGTACTGTCCATTCGTCCGGCAGAGCTAACTGAACGAGTCGGTGTCGACCATCCATTCCGTGGAGAGGGAAATAAACCATGACAGGCCTGGTTGATACCTGGTTGATGGGGTTCTGGGAGTTCTTCTACTCCCCAAGCCCGGCCCGAGGCCAGGCTCGACTTGTGAGAGTTTGGTCCACCAGGTTGTTGCTTGGAGCGGCCCGCAGGCCCACATACCCACCACAGCCCGGTTGGTCCGGCACTCCTTGGAGGAGTGCCAGGAGTTCCGCCTTTACGTGGGGAGCCATCCACCAGACCTTTGGCCACCCCCTGAACGTGAACAGCTAGGAGAGCCAAACCCAGAGAACTCAGCAGATGAGTCACCTGAGGCGACCAGCCCAAGTCCCAAGGACTGCATCGAACCCCCCATGGTTCAGGCAATGAACCGGGAAGCAATCCGAATGGAGCCAGATCGTCGATCCGCAAGTAACCCGAACCCTCTGAAGCGACATCCACACAGCCACAGACTCCTGCACCGTGCTGTGGGCCCGACAAAAAGACGAACTCCACCACCCAGCCTGGTGAATACTGGTCACAAAGCCCCAGCCAAGAGACGAGGCGACTGTGAACACATTAAGTGAAGGACTCGGATAGGCACCAAGGCACTGAACCCCAAAAAAACAAAGAGGAGGCCGGCGACGCAGCAGCCAACGTAAGGCACCCAGAGGCTGAACCCAGCGATTGCGAGAGAGGCGGAAGGGATGTCCCCGAAGGAACCAAAACAACCGAGGAAGCTAAACCTGACCTGGAAGGTAGACCAACATGGCAAAGTTCAGACTCCTGGACAAAGCCTCGAGTAACAAACATCAGCGGGAGGCCAGCTGGCTCAACTATCTACAACAGATGTGTTGACCACACAGCATCAGCAAATAAACTGATTGCATTACCCTACTGTATTAGAAAGTGTGAGCCTTGGTTGAGGATGGGGGAGGGGAGGGCCAAGTTGGAGGTGGGGCAAACGAACGCACTCTTGTTTCAAGAGATTCGATTATTTGTTTACATTGTTGGGGGAGTTTATTCTGCAGGTTGTGAGGCTTCAGTCTCTCTTGAACCAAATGTTACCTGCTTCCTGCACCTTTGTGAGGGTGGGGAGAGGCCAGGTTCTGGCTCTAGTTCCTGGTAGGCTGAGCTGCACTCCACGACTGATGCCATCTAGTAGTTGGGAGCCATCTCAGCATATCAACCCTTAATCTGCCCTCTAGGTTAAATAAAATAAAAAATGAGCATGTAAACTTACCGAGTAACAAAGTTATGGACGGTGGCAGTTGAGACCTCAACACCCTCTTCTAACAAAAACTTTGCACCTTCTGATAAGTCAAGGATGGCTACTAAGGGGACTACATCCTCCAGGCATGCAAAATCTCTTACACTGTCAGCTACCTCATCCTGTGACAAAAAAAAAATATTAATTAATAAGGGATATGAATAAGTATATACACGGTTCAGTAATTTTATTTTACTTTAATAATACTGTACATATATTTTACAGTGTATTATTTTCTGAGAGGGACCCCCTCTTTAGCATGCCAAGTTAAGTACAGTACTGTTATTAAAAATTTCAGAAAATTACAGTAGACCCTAGGACCCAGAACTCTGGCCTACTGAGGGCCAGGACCGGAATCTGCTTCACTATGAGGTGAAGGGAGTCTGGATATCAGAAAGCTTCCAAAACTAAGAAAAAACCACCAGAAAAGTTACATGTGACAAAACAAGTGACAGTGTGAAGGAAAATAGTAACCCTGATTGTTAGATAGTCAGCTCCCTCACCTGACTCTCTCACCTGGTTTTTCTCTGGTCGCACTGCTCTGTCTGGCCCTCCTTTTGTTGCTCTACACTTTCAATTAAGAGGTGTTTTTATACTTAGATTGTTCCATAAAGAGTCATTGCTTTATTTATTACTGTACTTCACTTATTGGGTAGCATTCACCACACACATCTTGTGCTTATATTGTCTGTTCCACTACATCTACTGGACATCCTCTCTGTAGTTTATTACCATTTTCAAAAATGTGAGCAGGTTTGTTAGCTAGGATTTATTTTTAACAAAAACCTGTTGTGATGCTTTCACAAGTTTGTCAACTGTGAGATGGTGGATGATTTCCTCCCTTAGGATTATCTCCATGATCTTGCAAATGTGTGAGGTCTGCACCACTCAGCACTTCTTGAAGATAAAAGTGCTGAATAAATGAAGAAGACATTTTCATATTGCCATATTGTGGGCTTTCACTTGTTTTAGAGATTTGCTGAGCTGGAGTTTCAGTGATAGAAACAAGTTATTAGCTAGTTTCTTTAAGATTTTGAACTGAATTCCATCCACATCTGGAGCTTTTGATTCCTTTATTAGTACTCTACTCTTCCTGATTATCTCCCGTGTAATGGTAATATTCCTTAACATTTTCTTCTGATTCAAATGTCTGTGTGGATGATAGAATGTTGTAAAATGATTCTAATTTGTTCACCGATGTAAAATATTCATAGATTGTGTTGGCAGTCTTTTTATTGCCAATTATAACTTAGTGGGCCTCATCTTTAAATAGTCCTACTATAACCTTTTTGCACAAATTCAGTGATAACCTTAATGAAATAATTCCATGATGCTTTATTGTCTTGATTCCCCATTACCTCCCTGCAGGAGGTATTTTGCAGTTCCGTTCTCATTCTTTGATAGTTACCTCAAAGGTAGTTACAAAAGTAATTGTAATGGTTTCTAGAATTGCATTCCATCTTAGGATATAGCAATCACAGGTAGGGATAGCCATCTCCTACCTGGATATGATTGATCATACCTTCTTCTGTTGTTACGAAAAGATCTAGATTGCTGTTACTTCAGCTGGACAGTCACATGCTATACAAGAAAGAAGTCTTGAATTATGTCACACTGCTTTCCTTCTGCTTGTGATATTAGATTCAAACAATTAGTGTCTTGTGGCTTAAAATATCATCTGTTGCAGGTCTGTAACTTTCTCCACTGTTGCTGTGTCTGCTCCATAACATACTCCCTTTACTACATTCTTTCAATTTTTAGCTATTAAATTGCACCATGCAAATTATGACCATCCCATGTTATTTAATTCATCGTTGCTGGTTGCAGTTAAGTTTTTTTATGTATACAGCAATATTACACACCTAGTGCTCTTGTTGATCTAGCTTTCTGAATATAAAAATAATGTAATAAGAAATAAGAGTGCATTTTATGAGAATATTGGTGTGTAAATTACATTATAGTAAAATCACTTAACACACACAGCATTTCAGCCAAGTCTTACATTTAACAAATTAGTTGGGTTTACAGTGATAATTTGTCGTCATTTGTAAGTTACAAGACACTGTATACAGTTAAATTTAAATAATGTACTTAAAACTAGTGATTAAGGCTTACTGTACAGTGGGAACTTGCAGTAATTTGGAAGTTTATACTGCCTATTGTAATTACAATTATTATTAAATACTTTTAAGTTTTTACAATTTCAGTGATTGGGAAGTTAACAGAAGTTGTCAAATTTAAAATTGAATTAACTAAAATGAGTAGATATACAGGTATAATTAATAATGAGAAATTATATTTATAAATACTTTTAGATAGTACTAGGTGAATTAGTAGCACGGATTTTGAGTAGATGTGATTTAATAATGTAGTTTGCATAATGAAGGTGGGGTATCATGTGAAGAAATTGGATGCTTCTTTACTTTACTGTCATTAATTAGACTTGGGGAATGTCAGAGATACTCTTATTTAATTATGGTGTGATATCATGGGTTCTATTACATATAACTGGAGTTTTAAGGTATTTAAGATACCTTAAAGAGTTTTAAGGTTTTAAGATTTAAGGGGGGTATTGTTGAAGTATAGGGCCACTATGTTAAATTTTGAAGAACCTTATTTGCTTACACTTTACAGACTTCATAACTAAAATATAAAATTAATTTACTACCAAAAATAAAAAAAATCATACCTCTCCAGCAACAAAAAACTGCAATGCAAGGCCACCTTCCTGTGAGTGTTCAAGTAGGTACTCCTCGGCAACTGGTAACAACACATCCCGGCCAAACTGCAGCTCTGTTGTCTCTCCATCTGTGGAAGATTTAATACAATATGGTATATCTCAGAATAATATATATAATCCACCTTAGAACCCATTTACTTACACACAGATTTATCCAGAGAATATACTGTATTATGCTGAAGAAGATCTGCATTTGACATCTCCTTAGCCAGTACGAAACACTGGTTGTCAATAATGCAAATAGCTATCCAGCTTATTTTTATAGATATGCCCCTATATATGTAGCATATGTCTGTAAGGAGTTGGCTCTTATGCAGTATGGTACTAACTCAACTGCTAATATTGTACTAAATCAAGCTTATTCAAATTTACACTTAATTCTCACTCTCCAGGGATTATTTTAAATACTCACTTCAAAATAACTGCAAGGTATTCAGCACAAGTCATGCCAATCTATACAAATTGGAAAAGTTTAGAGTCAAGAATTACAGTACATGTACCTGGGTAAATATTGGCTTGGAAATAGGGTTGTTTTGTTGTTATTTTTGTTGTCAATTTAAATTATTTTTGGAACAAATTACCTGGTAACATGATAGACATGGGATTACTGGATTGCTGCAAGTGAAAGTTAGACATACATGTATACAAGGGTACCTCGGTTTAAGAGTTTAATCCGTTCCTGGAGACAGTTCGTAACTCGAAGCTAATTTCCCCATAAGAAATGAGAAATGAATTAATCCATTCCTGACTACCCAAAAACCTCACTTCAAACTAAATTTTATACCTAAGTCATCAAAATCTACACTACAAAACTATGTTTAAGTTATTACTTACCATTGCTGAAGACTGCTGTTGGCATATGGAAGATGGTGAGGAGGGGGGAGGAGGAGAGGTGTTACTGTTTTGAAGGGGAGTCCCCTTCCATTATAACATCAGGCAGTGAGGACCTCTCTGGGGTGCATTCTCTGGCACGTTTTTGCCTGCATACCACTACGTCCTGGTTGTGGCTCACTGCTCGATGTTCTCACAACAAATATGTCCATGGAAGATTGTTTTTCCCCTTCTTCACAAGATGTCTCTGTAGTGAGGCATCACATTGTCATTGAAAAGATTAATGCAACGGCCTACTACAGCTTTCTCTGGGCGAGTCTTTTCAATAAAAGTTTGCATCTCTTCCCACATCTGACACCACTTCTTAATGGTTGTGGAAGGGACATTCGCTACTGCCTCATCCTCCTCCACTGGAGAAACATCCTCAGCTGGGTCTTCTTGCTCTTCCTTTTGAAGGGCTTGGAGTTCTTCGGTGGTCAGTTCTTCATTGTCTTCTTCCACCAACTCCTCCACATCATCACCATCCAATTCCAAGCCCATTTGCCGGCCCAGAGTAACAATTTCCACAACAATGGGCGCATCATTTACAGGCTCAAATCCCTCAAAGTCTAGTTCTGGCATACATTCATGCCACAATTTTCTCCAGCCAGAGATCGGGGTTCTTTGAGTCACTTCTTGCCAGGCTTTGTCAACGAGTTTTAAAGAACTACAAATGTTAAAATGGTAATTCCAGAACTCTTTGAGGGTCAGGTTTGTGGCTTCAGTTACTTCAAAATATTTCCGGAAAAGTGCCCTTTCATAACATTTCTTAAAATTTGCTATGATTTTCTGGTCCATAGGCTGAATTAGAGGAGTGGTGTTAGGAGGAAGGAATTTTACTGTGAGAAAATTACTGTATCTGCATTCATCTTCCAAGCCTGGAGGATGAGCAGGAGCATTGTCGAGGAGAAGCAGGGCCTTGAGTGGCAAACCTTTCTCCTGCAGATATTTTTCTATGGCAGGGCACACCACTTCATTCACCCAATCCGAAAAAAAAATCCGTCGCCCATGCCTTATTATTAGCCCGTCACATCACACACATTTAGTTTTTCTGCACTTTATACTGTTTGAAAACCCTTGGATTTTCAGAATGATACACTAGCAAGGGTTTAATTTTCAAATCGCCACTCACATTTGAACACAGCACAAGCGTAAACCTATCTTTCATAGGCTTGTGTCTGGGCAATGCTTTTTCATCCTTGGTAATGTATGTCCTCTTAGGCAATCTTTTCCAGAACAGTCCTGTTTCATCACAATTAAACACCTGTTGTGGAGGCATCCCTCAGCCTTTGCAAACTCTTTAAATTCTTCAATAAATCTTTCAGCCGCTGGTTTGTCTGAGCTGGCAGCCTCCCCATGCCTCACAACACTATGAATACCGCTTCTTTTTCTAAATTTCTCAAACCATCCCCTGTTTGCCTTAAAGTCTTTCGTATCTGCATCACTCGTTCCAGGGGTTTTCTTACAAGGTCTTCATGCAATACCCTGGCTTTCTCACAAATGATGGCCTCTGAAACACTATCACCCGCTAACTCCTTGTTGTGTATCCAAATTAATAACTTTTCCACTTCCTCAAGTATTTGTGGTCTTTATTTCATGATTGTTGATACTCCTTTTGCCACTTTAGCACTCATAATGTCCTTTTTCTTGGCAAGTATAGTGCATATCGTTGATGTGGATTTGTTGTACTGCCTACAAAGTTCAACAACACGTGCACCATTTTCATGCTTCCGAATGATCTCTTACTTTTCCTCTATTGTCATCCTCACCTGTGATTTCTTGCCTTGAATCTTACCACTGGGTTTCTTGGGACCCATTGCGATGTATATTATAACAAATTTTATGCTCAAATAGCAAAAATTCCGAAAATAAACGGTAAATCCTTTTGAAGAATTCAGTTGGGAGAGTCACTGGGCGCGAGGCACTGGCAAACTGAGCAGCGATTGCCATGCCACCACGCGCTAGGTCGGCCCGTACGCGTATCAACAAACTCCTATTCTGAGGCAACCCTCGTATCCCGATACAAATTTTCCAGGCAAATCCTGCTCGTAACTCAAAATACTCGTAACCAGGGGCACTCGTAAGCCAAGGTACCACTGTATTAATGTCTGGTTTAACAAATAAGATGGGCTTTGACTATACAGTATTGCCAAGGTATGGCACCAGCAATTCATTTAACAATCCTATCCCAAAATGAGAGATATGACACCTCAATCAGCCCATTATGCTAATTTGAAAAGACTAGTACTGTATAGCAGTTGATAACAGATGTCACCTGCTCCTTTCAACATCTGCTCTTATCCGTAAGTGGTTCCTTTGTTAATCCTTGCTGCCAACTCCTTTAGATGTGACACTAGCATGAAAAAACCAGCATTGAATGTAATGAAACGCCATTTTCTGGGTGAGACACGGACGCTCCCCGGAGCTTACTAGGCTGATATGCTAATGTCAGACTTTGGCATCAGTCATGTGTATGGAGTTCTTACGGGCCTACCGGGGACCACGAGCCAAAACCTGGCTCCCTTCTAGAGAGGCAAGGGGAGCAATGGCCTATAGAAACCCCCGTGTAATTGGAAGCATTCTATGTCTGCCATCGACCGGGTTAGGCACCCAGAAAGGTAGGCGTCCCAAAACAAACCCCTATTCTGGTGAAAATTGCATCCAAAAGCCGAACGAGTGGATAGAACTCCCCAACAAAAAACGAGCAACCTAGTATGATGTCATTCGTCGTCGCGCCGCTGTCTGCGCAGCCCCCCCCCTCCCCAGGAGGGGGAAGGGGCAGCCCCAGATCTGCCCCAGTTCTGTGGGCCTATCAGGGACCACGAGCCAGAACCTGGCCCCCTCAGAGAGGCATGGAGAGCAATGGCCCATAGAAACCCCTGTGTGGTTGGATGCATTCTATGTCTGCCATTGACCGGGTCAGGCACCCAGAAAGGTAAGCATCCCAAAACAAACTCCTATTCTGGTGACATTATTGCTACCACAAGCCGAACAAGTGGATAGAACTCCCCCCAAAAGAAATGAGCAAACGAGCATGACGTCACACGTTGCTGCGCCGCTGTCTGCGCAGCGGGGGAAGGGGAAGCCCCAGACTCCCCACGCTGGCTATCCACCCTTCAGATCTGAAGCTGGATGTCAAAACACGCGAAAAACTGCCAACTGGAGCAAGGGAGGGATGCCGGGGAGCCTCCAGGTCTCATCCAGAAAATGGCGTTTCATTACATTCAACGCTGGTTTTCTGGGGGGAGCCCCCTTGGCTTCCTGGAGCTAACTACCCACAGAGGAAAAGAATAGGGACTTACCCAGGAGGCGGCCACTGCTCACTCCTCAACTCAAGTCAAGATAACTGGCTACAACCGCCGACCCAAAGCGACAGTCCCGACTGGGCCCGGAAATGTTCACAAGGTAACGAGCAGCCAGGACCCTGTGTGACCGCCAAAAGCCCTGCACCCGAATGTCAGCCCAGGACATGTTGCCAAAGACAGCAGCAAGAGCAGCGAACTTACGAATGTCATGCACACTGGGATAGACCGCAGGCTGGCTAGCCATAATAACACTGCGGATGACCTGGGAGACCCGTGGCACGCAAATAACGGCGAAGGGCCGCAACCGGACACAAAACATGATGCACCCCTGGCCTAACCAACTAAGCATCAACAACCCAGCGACCCCTCAGGAAAGCAGCAGTCTCATGGTTTGCCAGAAAAGAAGGAGACGGCCGCAGACGAACAAAACCATCACGAAGACCGAAAGAGCAGAAACCCCTGCGCCAGTGGAGAGCAAGAAGCTCCCGAACCCGATCCCCAGAAGCCAATGCCAGCAGAAAAAGAGCCTACAAAAAACAATCAGTATTTGGCATAAGATAATAGTCCTGAAACAATCAAGAAAGGAAGGACATGACAACCTGATCCGAAACTGAAGAAAACCTACGGTATGTCTCTCTACAGAGAGACAAGAAATAATGAAAGGACCGCCAGGAAACTTAATACTGCTGCCGAGACGAGGCATGAAGGTGGTACACCATCAACAAAGCCACCTGCTCACCATACAAATAGTGATAGACCCACGTAAGAAAGACTAGATGTGAAGACTTGAGAAGAAGATCGAACCAGCTACATAGTGGACTGGCACGATCTGCTGAAAAAGGCAGAGCCGCAGGAAAACTCCTGGGTTCCAACACAGAGCAAGCAACACCTGAAACCATGGCTAAGCTGGCCACCAAGGGGCCAACAGGACTACTCTCCCGTGATAAGTCTCTAAGTGAGCCTAGAGCAACAGCGGAATCGGGGGAAGAGGTACAGGTAACCCCACCTCGACCAGTCCTGCCTGAAGGCATCAACCCCGACGGCCTCGCAGTTGGGGAAGGGTGCCACATAATACTGGAGATGCCTCAACCACGCCGACGTGAAGAGGTCCACCTCACAGGAGCTGTACGTCTGGCAGAGCCAACTGAACAAGTCGGCGTCGACTGTCCATTTCATGGACAGTGGAATAAATTTGGACAGGCCGTCCGCCAGGACAGTGGACCCCCCCCCCCCCCTCCCCGAAAGATGTGAACGGCAACCCGGAGACTCAGCAGACGAGTCTCCCAAAGCAACCAGCCCCAAAGAGCCAAGAGCCTCATCGAATCCCTGCAGTTCAGGCAGTGAACCACCGGGGAACAGTCCCAATGGAGCCAGATCTTCGAACCCCAAGCAATCTAAACCCTCCGAAGCGACATCCACGCATCCACACATCCACGAACTCCCACACCGTGCTGTGGGCCCGACGGAAGGGCCGGCCAACGGCCCAGGGAAGGGCTGACGGAAGGGCCGGCCTAGGGCCCCAACGCCCTGGGCCGGCCTGGTGAGCACTGGTCACAAAGCCCCAGTTAAGAGACGACGCATCTGTGAACACATCAAGTAAGGGCTCAGGTAGGCGCCAAGGCACCGAACCCCCTCAAAAAAACGAAGAGGAAGCCGGCAACGCAGCAGCCAATGTAAGGCATCCGTAGGCTGAACCCAGCGATCGCAAGGGAGGCGGAAGGGACGTCCCCGAAGGAACCAGAACAGCTGACGAAGTCAAACCCGTCCCAGCAGGAAGACCAACACGGTAAAGTGTAGACTCCCACACAAACCCTCGAGCTCGACAACGGCCTCGTGACCCGGAAGCCCTCCAGAAACACCTGAAGGCAGAACTGCAGCCACAGCAGAGCCTCTGAAGGGAGAGACAAGGAAGCAGTCCAAGAGTCCTACACAAAACCCAGCCAAGTTCAAACCTGAGAAGGAACCGCATGGAGCTTCCTCCAGTTCACCAAGAACCCGAACCTGGCGAGCTGGAAAAGAACCAAATCCCTGGCGAGCAGACATGGGGACTGGCTGGGGTGACAAACCAGCCAGTCATTGAGGTAGGCCAGAACTCGAACCCCTTAAGAGATGCAGATGGGCCACCACGACCCGGGTAAGGCGTGCAAACATGCGAGGCACCAAATTGAAGCGGAATGGAAGGCAATGAAAGTGGTAAGCCTTACACCCCACAACAAAACCGAGTCAGTCCCTGAACCCCGGACGAATCAGGACATGCCAATATGCATCCCGAAGGTCCAGGGACACCATCCAAGCGTCTGGCTCCAAAGGAAGATGGACCTGGGACCGAATAGTCATCCGAAAGGAGGGGCAATAGACTCAGGGGTTCAGACAGGACAAGTCCAGAATGAACTGCAGGTTCGTGCAGTCCCGTTTCAGAACCGGAAACGGGCGGGAAACCCACCTGATGGACGAGGATGTTTCGACCACGCCCAAGCAAACCAACTTCAAAATGACCCAATAGAGCGCACAAGAGGAGGCCTGCCCACCTGCCACAAACCCCCCAAAGGGAGAGGGGCCACCCAGTGCCACCGCAGGCTGCAAGAAACGCCCACAAATTATAGGACCAGGTGTGAGCAAACAGCGTGAGCCTTCCCTCCCATTGCCCCGTCAATGGGACGAACCACAAAAGGGCTGATGCCCCTTACAAGAAGCCGATCAACAAGCAGAGCATTCACTGCACCAACCAGACGTCACCCGATTCCAAAGGCTGCGCTGGCTCTGAAACTGACACCACTGGCCTACCGCGACGAGAGGAACCCCGAGCCCTGGCACAACCCTTCCAGGAAGAACCCCTATGCCCCCGCTGCCCCCCCCCGGAAAACCAACAAGTCCGACATGGGACAACAACTAGAAGAAGCTGCCTGCAGATACTGCACCACTGCAGACTCTGCAAACAGCAAAGAACAAAAAGATGTAGAGAACTTAAGAGCCAGGACCCAAGCGGATTCCAATGATTAAGCATTGCCTCACGGCACGCAAGACGAGAAGCAAAGAACTGAGACACTGCTTCCCGCAGGATCAGCGCAAACAGCTTCAACAGGGCAGCTGAAGCACACACTGCAGAGACCAGCGCACCAGAGTCAGGATCGGCATTCAGCTCCTACACATCCACCTCAAGCTAATCCGAAGACAGCTCGAGAAGGGAAAAGAAACACAGGAACGAATCCAAATGGCCACAGGCATGCAAGCCCTCAGCAACCAGGGCCGCCGAAAGGACAGGAACCTGCACATGAAGCTGCACCAGGCCGACATCCTGAGGAAGAGCAGGGGCAAGCAAACACGCATTGAGACATTCAAATTCGCCCCCCAGGTAAACCTGAACAACCGTAAGAGCCTCACGCCACTTAAGCGTGCGAGACCAACAGCATGTATGCCACGCCCCCAACGAGAAGAGAGGAAAGTCTGCCAACCAGGATGACTCCGGAACCTCGTAAGGAACCTAGTAAAGAAAGGAAGAACCGAACTCGAAAGAGACGGAATCCATTATTGAGGCACAATCCGGGTCACGCAGGAGGTAAGCTGCAAGGGCCTCCTGCACTTCATGAGGCGGGATGTGGAAGGGCAAAAACCTCAGGAAGGAAGGGACCAAATAACCCAAGGGAACCCATAAGGGAGTCCACTGGACAGACTCAGAAGTACCAGCAGGAGGAACAGGCTCTCGAATGCCTCCGTCGCCACACCGGATGGGGCATACCTTGAAACTGCCCAAGTCTCACCACCAACTAATCCCTGCCCTGACTCCAAAGCCCTCAGATGCTTTGGAGTCGGGTACAGGAGGGGAGGAATAGAACGACCAACAGCAGGGGAAGGACAAGGGGGTGTAGACAAAATCAAATTCGAGGTGACTAACGCTCCGAAGTCCAGATCCCAATAACAAAATGGGACAGTCTTGGGGCATCAGGGTGAGTAACCAACCTAGCGCACTGCAGCAACCTATAACGTGCATGCAACGCCGAAGCCACCTGCTTCCGAATATCAAGATCAGTGGATTGGGCGAATTGGAGTACAAGCAAGCAACACAACTCGCAGGACTCTGGATTGAAGGTATCACCAACCCAATAGGCAGCATGACGGAGGAAGAAATGGCGATTGTCACCCCTGAAACAAGGGGACAGAGTAACCTTCAAACTCACATGAAATGAAATGGGACCCAGGGGGACGCATCCATTGGACCAGTGAGTCCCAACGGGGATTTCCAGGGCCCTTGGATACTCTGCTAAGGAAAGCCCAGGCAAGGTACAGCTAACCAGCGCCCCAAACTACCAAACGGACTACTAAGTGCTGAACCCCTGTGACATGTACACTCACAGGGACCTAGTGGAAGACCACCAAGAATATAATTATATAAGGGTCAACAACATCAAGAGGCAGACCTAGCAAACAGACCTGGCAGACCAGGCAGAAAACAAAAATAAAAGAAAAATCCTGCAAGAGAACAATGTCACAGGCAGAAGAGAGCTGGCCGCAGTATTATGGAGAAAACAAGTTACACAGTACCTTGCGCCCCTTCCAGTGACGAAACTATCTCCTACACAGAGGCAAACAGTGATGCATGAAACACCCTAGCTGACCACAAGGGCAGGCAATCACCGAGCAGCAAATGACCACAGCGGTGGTAGACCCCATGTGACTTGTGGAAGATGCCCCAAGTGCAGGACTTACAGGGCACCTAATGAAGGTAACCCTAGGTGCATGCAACCCGAGTACTGGTGAAACTACTCTTGGCTCAAACACCACCACAGGACAGGACCACACCACAAGGTACTGGGGGGGGTGGATAGCTAGTGCAGTAGGTCTGGAGCTCCCCCTTCCCCATCCTGGGAGGGGGGATCTGCACAGATAGCGGTACAGTGACAGTTATCACATCATGCTCGTTTGCTCGATTTTAGTTTGGGAGTTCTGTCCAACAGTTCGGCTTTTAGTAGTAATTTTTTAACCAGATAGGGATTGTTTTGGGGAGCCTACCTTTCTGGATGCCTGACCTGGTCTATGACAGACACAGAATGCTGCTTCCAACCACACGGGGGTTTCTATAGGTCATTGCGCCTCGTGCCTCTCTGAGGGGGGGCCAGGATCTGGCTTGTGGTCCCTGGTAACCCTAAGAACTCCATTCGCTTTGACTGATGCCACGGTCTAATATATTCATATCAGTCCGGATAGCTCTGGGGAGCCAAAGGGGCTTCCCCCAGAAAGATATACTTGATGCACACAGAAAATCAAAATGAATATTTGTTTCAGTTAATTAATACCTGAAATATATAAATGTCAGTTCTTATTTGACTAGGATGTAACAAGAACTGGAAGCCTCACCTGTGAAGAGTACAAGGCAAGGGCTCTCCTGAAGACGAGACATGTGGCGCTCAGCCAGTATTTCCACACTCTGCGGTTGCCAAGGGAATCTCTGGGGATAAAATAAAATCTTGTTTACTGTTAAAAGTATATTTTGTAGGCAGTTCTGAATGCACTAATAAAAGAAAACATGGAACACTATTTTTCCAGATATTAGGATCAAAGGAGAACGTGAATAAAAAATAATATTCCTAGCTGGAGATGGTGGAATGTTATCAGTCACTGACACACTACTAAATTCAATAGTTTCTTCTCCTCTGTTGGGACATCCCTTGCAAATGAGATCCCAGCATCTCAAACAAATGTAGGTGACTACCTTTCTGGCAACTATCTTGAGTTTCTGTACATGTTCCCCATCTAACTCCTCAGATACAGTATTAATGACAATCTTCTTACTTGAAACTAAATCAAATAACCCTTCTGAGATACCAATTCAACAAAAGCACTTAAAAGGTTTTTAGCTCCTGCCATAACATTGGTCTACAACAAGTCACTTAAGCTCAAAGCCTTTCCAGATATTTTTAAAGTGGCTAGTTATGGCAATCCATAAGAGTGGTGATCTCACCAAAATCTACAAATGTAGAGCATCTTGTCCACCTTATTCAAAAAAATTTTAAAATCTAATACACAAACAGCTCGTAATACTTCCTAGATAAACACAATATGCTTAGTTCTTGCCAATATGACTTCAGACCCTATAAAAGCACCAATGATGATTTAATTAATATCCTTGACCAAATACAATGCAGCTCTTGATAAAAATGAGTACCCCATAATTGTACAGTATTTGATGATCTATGCAAGGCTTTTGACACTGTTAACCACACTAACCTTCTCAAACTACAACACTGTGGAATCAGGTCACAATTCAATGCTTTCAATATTACATCAGTGACAGGCACCAGTATGTTTCTGTGAACATTACTACTTCTCCAACTCTGCCAATTAACATTGACGTTTCTCAATGTAGTATACTTGGTCCACTCTTCTTTTTCATTTACATCTATGATCTTCCAAATGCCACTCAACACTTGAAGCCAGTTCTATTTGCTGATGACAACCTTCATTTTCTCTCATGCTAACACACTTATTCTAAATGACAGTGACTTAGTAAATGACTTACTAAAGACAACAGTCAATTTATAGCTAATTGCTAAAAAAATTAGCCTGAACATCGATAAAACATTTTGCATATTGTTTGGTAAATAGTCCAGCAATCTAACAAGAATTAACAACACACAAATTTTTTAGTGTTCACATAGACAACAAAGTGAATTTCTATTGCCACATACAAAATATGTGGTGTGCCCCACATTTAGATTATTGTATTCAAGCATGGAGACCTTATCTTCAGAAAGACATACTGTAGCTCCTATGGAGAAAGTTCAACACCAGGCAACAAAGATCATTCCAGAACTAAGTCGACTCTCATTCCTGGCATGAGTTCAGTAATGATTTTTTGTGGCCCGGTGTTGTACTTTTTCTTAAGGGGCCCCGATGACGGAGGAGATTTTTACAAATATGAAATATAGTGAAAAATTTTAAACAAATCTCCCATTATTTGGCATCTGCATTGTGAAAATTTCATCCCAACATGTTAAGAAATTAATTTTTCAAGATTTTTTTTTAAATAAATGTATGCGCGACGGCCAGCAACCAGTACTGATAATAACGATAACACCTCCTATTTACTGGCAATGCAGGATAAAGAGATGCAAGCACCTGTTCGATGCACAAAGTAGTAGTAGTAGTAAGGAGGGTCTACAAAGTGGATTTGCAGCTGGTGCCAGCTGGAGGGCCAGATTTCACACATAATAATGAGTTAGTATGTTATTATGTTGTATTTTATTATATATATATATATATATATATATATATATATATATATATATATATATATATATATATATATATATATATATATATATATATGTCGTACCTAGTAGCCAGAATGCACTTCTCGGCCTACTATGCAAGGCCCGATTTGCCTAATAAGCCAAGTTTTCCTGAATTAATATATTTTCTCTTATTTTTTTCTTACGAAATGATAAAGCTACCCATTTCATTGTGTATGAGGTAAATTTTTTTTATTGGAGTTAAAATTAACGTAGATATATGACCGAACCTAACCAACCCTACCTAACCTAACCTATCCTATCTTTATAGGTTAGGTTAGGTTAGGTAGCCGAAAAAGTTAGGTTAGGTAGGTTAGGTTGTCGAAAAACAATTAATTCATGAAAACTTGGCTAATTAGGCAAATTGGGCCTTGCATAGTAGGCTGAGAAGTGCGTTCTGGCTACTAGGTACGACATACATATATATATATATATATATATATATATATATATATATATATATATATATATATATATATATATATATATATATATATATATATATATATATATATATATATATATATATATATATATATATATAATATATATATATATATATATATATATATATATATATATATATATATATATATATATATATATATATATATATATATATATATATATATATATATATATATATATATATATATATATATATATATATATATATATATATATATATATATATATATATATATATATATATATATATATATATATATATATATATATATATATATATATATATATATATATATATATATATATATATATATATATATATATATATATATATCTCATTTAAATACATTGCCCACTGGCAATATTTCTTATGTTCCTTTGTACGAAAAGTTGACAACCACGTTTTTTTTTCTCTCTCTCCTTTGTTTCTATGCGGATTTTGTTGTGACTTCTATATCGTAGACAATGCATATCCAGCACTAAGCATGTGAAATTGGAACAAAATTGGTCAACGTGTTAATGAGCCACAGGTGGCAGAAGTTGTGACTTTTATTTATTTTGGCTGATTTATTTGCAGATTTCAAACTCTATTATCTTTGTCTATTTAGGTTGTATTGATGAATGAGGACCAGATGAGAGCCTTATCACTTATATATATGGGCAATAAAGTTACTGCAATATATGTTTGTTACTAATCAAACAGGCTGTGACTCATACGTCAGGCTGCAAGCAGCTGTATCCAACAGCCTGGTTGACCAGTCCAGCAACGAGGAGGCCTAGTCGAGGACTGGGCCGCGGGGAAGCTAAGCCGAAACCATCTCAAGGTTATCCCTACCGTATCCCCATACGTTTTTTTTTTTTTTTTTTGGGTGGGAGGTATTTTTTCTTGACCTCATTTCAACACACATTGACCACCAATTTTCACATATTCAAGTACGAATGCCAAGCAATATTTATTAAAACATACAAGAAAATTTATTAATTAGAACTATCATATTCATTGTCAATAAATTCAATTTCAATTATCTCTAAAATAGGAATTTCAAGTTTGAGACCTGATAAAAAATTCAGTTTCTGACCGATTCTCGCCATTTTTTACATACAGTATTATGTGTAAAGTTTTTAATTATATAATTTCCTAGGTGTCGTTTGAAATTGAAAGAGGTGATTACACTGGTAGAGATGAAGTACTTAATATTAGTACAGTACTAATACAGTATTGGGGAAGTGGGTAGTACAAGAAATGTGAGTTTGAAGCACAAGGTAGGACACTATATGAGTATGTAATTAGGTTTTCTTTTTAGTTTTACTTTTGAACAAGGTATAGGTTGGAACATTTTTTAATTCATCAGGGAGTGAGTTCCAAAGACTGGGTCCTTTCATTTGCATGGTGTGTGTGCACAGATTTAGCCTAATTCTGGGGATATCAAAGATATATTTATTTCTGGTGTGGTGCTCAAGGGTTCTATTACACCCATCAAGGAAAAGTTTCAGATCAAGATTAGCATTTAGGAACAAGGTTTTGTACATGTAGATAACACATGAGAATGTGTGGAGTGAGTGTATGTTTAACATGTTAAGGGATTTAAACAGAGGGGCTGTGTGTTTTCTGAAAACAGAGTTTGTTATAGCTCTGATAGCAAATTTTTGCTAGTTTGCTTTAACAATAATTCAAGTGGGGGCACACTATAAATTCAACTGGAAAAAAATCCTCGGGAATAATGTGGGGCTTTTGAAAAGTTGCCAGTGTTCTGTCCACCCCATTTGGCTTCCTGTCCCTGAAGTCAAATGGGGTGGAATGGAGATAATTTTGACCCACCTATGACAGTCTCCTACCACCCATCAGTCACCCCAAAGTTCAGTGTCCCCCATCCTTTTAAGTGTTGGGTATTCAACCTTGGACAAACAAAAACAGCAATCTTCTGTTGCAGATATATAATAATAATAATAATATAATTGTGTCGTGGGACAGGAAGCCAGAGTATTTATACATGTTTGACTTTTATCGAGGCCCCCCCCCAAGCCAAATTACTGACCCCGCCCAGGATGCAACCTCACAACAAGCTGACTAACTCCTGAGTACCTATGCACTGCTAGGTGAACAGGTGCATCAGGTGAAAGGAAATGTGCCCAACCATTTACTCTGACACTCTGGCCCCAGACATCACTCGGTACCCTTACTCAAATCTCTGAATATGTTAGATATTAAGTCACTGCACATTCTCTCATGTGTATTATACATATATAAAACGCTGAACTGTAATGCCAATCCTGACCTCAAAAGCTTCATAGAAGGTTGTAACAGAACCCATGAGCACCACACCAGAAATAAATACAGTTTTGATATTCCTTGAGTACGACTTAATCAAACTTAATCAAATGCTCTACAAATCAAGGGACCCAGAATGTGGAATGACCTTCCCAACCTTAAAGACTGTACCTCTCTCAACCAGTTTAAGATAAAAATGAAGCTATACCTAATAAATTCCCTGTAACCTACCTAACCCCTCTATTGTCAACCAATTTGTTTTTTTTTTAAATGACGCTGTTTGTCGACAGAATTGTATTTGTGCTGCTTTTTCAGCCATGTTCCCCCCTTTTTATCTCTTTTTTTATTTGTTCTGAACTCATTTTATTCTTTATGCTCAATTAGTATTAAGCTTTAGTCATTTAAGTTTTTCATGCCCGAAACGCTTTGCGTAATAGTGGCTTTAGGCATTGTATGTACTAGCCCTATCTATAAATCCATCACTCTTTGTAAAATCTCTTGTATGTATGTACCTTACCTAAATAAACATTTGATTTGATTTGATTTGATTTCTGACCCACTCAGGATTCGAACCTGGAATTCTCGATTGTGCATCAAAAAAGAACCAAACTGTACTACTAGGATATAAAAATTTACTTAAACATCGAACTTTTTTTCTACAAAAATATTTAATTATGGGTATTAGGTAATACGTAGTATGTGGCAAAAGTATTAGGTAATACAGTATGTAATTACCTAAGTGTAGTTACAGGATGAGAGCTACGCTCGTGGTGTCCCGTCTTCCCAACACTCTTTGTCATATAACGCTTTGAAACTACTGACGGTCTTGGTCTCCACCACCTTCTCACCTAACTTGTTCCAACCGTCTACCACTGTGGCAGATATATTATGCAACAACTCTTAACACAGGTCAATGAAGGTCAATGTTTGTATAGAAGTGAACCCCAACCTCAACATGGGGATCCTCTGAGAGCTGCGTCCGTCCGTCTGTGGTAATGACAGAGTTGTCTGGAGCCAGGATGACCAGCGTGGGGATGCCTTTGACCTGTAGGTTGGTAGCTAGCTCGTGGCGGGCGTCCTTCTCCTCCCAAGCCAAGCTCAGCCACGGCATGGTGTTGTGGTAGGTCTGCCACGACTCTTCGCTCCTGCAAGATAACACGCCATTAAGGGTGGGTGTGAGGGGCTGGCCAGAGATGGCTGGCCCGAGCCGAGGGCCACAGTCACAGCCTAAGGGAGGGACCTGAGCGGCATATATTTTTTCTTTTTGCGAAAAATCTGATGAAGTGAACCTGTAAACAAAAAAAGGTCTTCAATCGTTATATTTTGACAAACTAAATTTGAAGAGCATTGACAAACTAAAAGACTCAAAAGCCCCAGGTGTGGATGCATTACAATACAAAGTTGCAAAGAAACTGGCAAATGCACTATGCATACCACTGAAACTCCTTTTCAGAAAATTCCTGGACCAAGGGATAGTTCCCTAGGATGGAAATATGCAAATGTCACCCTTATTTTCAAAAAAGGGCAGAAAAAGCTCGGCAGAAAACTACTGTGCGATCAGCTTGACATCACACATCTACAAGCTCATAGAGAGAATCCTAAGGGAGGGAATCACACAACATCTCACAGAGAACAATCTTCTAAAATCAACGTAGCATGGATCTGTTAAAATTAGATCCTTACAAACCAGGGGAGCAGATTCACGAAGCACTTACGCAAGCACTTACGAACCTGCCCATCTTTTCTCAATCTTTGGCGGCTTTGTTTACAATTATTAAACAGTTAATGAGCTCCGAAACACCAGGAGGCTGTTAATAACAATAACAACAGTTGATTGGCAAGATTTCATGTTTGTAAACTGTTTAATAAATGTAACCAAAGCCGTCAAAGATTGAGGAAAGATGTACACGTTCGTAAGTACTTGCGTAACTGCTTCGTGAATCTGGTCCCTGCTCACATTTCTGGAAACGGTAACCGCTATTCAGACAAAGGACTTCCGGTAGATGTAGCTTACATGGACTTTGCTAAAGCTTTTGACATGAGAGACTGACAAGGAAATCGCAAGCACATGGAACAAATAGGATACTAGAATGGATAAAACAATGGTTAAAACAAAAAACAAAGGGTCGTGTTAAATGGGAATGAATCTGAATGGGGAAATGTGCTTAGTGGGGTGCTACAGGAATTCATTTTGGGGCCAACCGTTTTTGTCATATACAATACATCAATGACATAGATGAGAATATTACAAACCACATCATCAAATTTGCAGATGACACTAAGATTTAGGGTAAAGGGGAAAGTGAAAGTGATATTGAGACCTTACTTTGTAAGGTCTCAATACAAAGACCTTACAAATATTGAGTTTTAGTTTAGTTCATTTATTATGCACCCCATTCCCATGTGGGCGGTAATGGAAAGAGTTACAGAGGTACATAATGGGCTCAGGGACTGAACCCCACAATTCATTTAGTTAAGCAAGTTACAATCTTGATGAGCTAGTTACAAACTTCAGTATAAGTCGTCACATCATAAATGGGCTCGAGATCGGCCACAAGTACAGTTTCTAAATTAAACAACTAACATATGTGGAGAGCTAGTGTCACAAGTGATATGTTTGTCCTGCACACCGCCCCCTATCTAGTGGTGGATAGGAAACAATCACTTAGTTACTACGTATAGTTAGCAAACTGGGGATATTTGGCTAAAATTTCTGATAGCAGATCATTTTGAAGAAATATTGCTGGAACCACATTGCTTGAACATTGGTTATAGAATTGTCTCTGAATTCCCGTATCTTTACGCACTCCATCACATAGTGACGGAGGGTGTGCGAATAATTTTGTTGACAGTTTACATTTGGTCAGGTCTACATCAGCAGATAATGAGAATTCCCAGAGATACTTGTAACCGAGTCTAAGCCGAGCAGTAGTAACATCTAGAAGTCTGCTGATTTTATTGGATGAACCATAGATGTGTGGCTCCTCTTGCATGATAGTATGATGATAGATGGAATTACTGGTGTCGATTTCACTTTGCCTCAGATCTACAAGATTTTGTTGAAGTTCTCGGTGTACTGCTGCTCTCAGATTGCTCATTGACAATCCAAGGTTACACTCAACGTCTCCTTTACATAGTGCAATGCTTTCATAAACTCCACAAATGGTCAGATAACTGGCAAATGCTTTTTAATATCGATAAATGCAAGACCTCGCATATGAGGCATAACAATCCACGTCACAAATATCAAATTGATAACACTACCTTAAAAAGATAGATGAAGAAAAGTACCTTGGAGTCAGAATCCATCATTCACTAAAAGTTGCACAACAAATGGGAGCGGCAGTAAAACAAAACAAAAAAAGCGAACCAAACCCTGGGAATAATCAAGCGTATCTGTACCTTTAGGGAAAAGAAAATAGTCATTCAATTGTATAAGTCTCTGGTGCGCCCCCACCTGGATTATTGCATCCAGGCATGGAGACCTCATCGTCAGAAAGATACAGCTGCCCTGGAGAAGGTGCAACACCGGGTAAGAAAAATCATTCCAGAGCTTAATCTTTCGTATCGGGAACGGTTGAGGACCACAGGGCTAACAACACTGCAAACCAGACATGACAGGGCGGATCTCATCGAAACCTTTAAAATACTGAAAAATTTGAACAATTATCGATCCAGACAATTTCTTAAAAATGTCAGATGTAATACGAACGAGGAGCAGCGGGTTCAAGCTCAACAAGCCATAACGTAGGACAGAAAACAGAAGATGCTTTTTCACCTATAGGGTTGGGTGAAAAAGGGTAACATTGGTAAACCCGTGGAACCACCTACCCGTCGAAGCCGTAAACGTCAAAACTCTGCTGAGTTTTAAAATACAGCTGGAAAAGATCATCAAGGCAAATGGGGGCACCTTTGACAAGCCGTCGGCTTCGTGTCCTCGTCGAGGCCACTAGTATTAGTGGCCCCTCAGGTAAATTCAGGTAATTTTTTTTGTGTAAAGAGAAATAAAATATTGTTAAAACTGAAGGTGAATTTTGTTTGTATGTCAATTCTAATCATTTTTAATTTTCATAGATTTCGCTTTATGCTTTTTATCTTTTAATTCCATAATTAAATTATTGATTTCATAAATTATTTGATTTCATCACCATTCATTAGGAATATCACGTTGATTCACCGTGAAGAGCAGATCTAAAAGTTTAGCAAGCAACAGACGGCATAAAGTAGGAGGCGATGTAGCATCTATGCAGCATCAAGATCAATACAAAAAAAGTTATTTATTTTATTTTTATTTATTGATTTACATGCAAGAACTTACATGCACTTGCTTGTGAGAGCACTTAACATTGGTGTTTGAGCATTATTTTATTGCAAGGTGACTAACACGCATATAGTGTTTCTGGCAGGTCCTTAATCTAAGTTTTAGTCTTTAGTGTTTTTCCTGCCCGAAACGCTTTGCGTAATAGTGGCTTTAGGCATTGTATGTACTAGCTCTATCTATAAATTCATCAATGTTTGTATCACCCCTTGTATATATGTACTTTACTTGAATAAACATTTGAATTTGAATTTGAATTTAACTAAAAGAAGTAAAAGTATTAGAGGTAGGTACTGTAGCAGGATTTAAGTTCAACATAATAACTACAGTATATATTTTGATAGTTTTGATTATGCTGGTGAAGTTGCAAGATTCAGCCAGTCTTACACGTCGTCAACAGACAGTACTGCAGACAAAGGAACCCTTGCAACTCCAATACACAATATTTCAATATTTAGATATGAAAGTGAAGACAGTGATCAACTTTTAGAAATTGATACACTGGCAGATGTAATAGAAGATTATGTGCATAATTTAGCAGAAGCACCACATACCTCAACATTTCTTGAATTTGCCGAGAGCCACTATCTCAGCTCTAGTGGCCACGACGAGGACAGGAAGACGGCGGCTTGTCATTTGTCCTGATGATTTTATCTATTTGGATCCTAAATTGTTGCAGGGTTTAGGCATTTACAGCTTCGGCGGGTAAGTTGTTCCATGGGTTTATAACTCTATGGGTGAAAAAGCATCTCCTGTTTTCTGTTCTACATAATTCTGGCTTGTTGAGCTTCCATCCGTTGCTCCTTGTTAGTGTTACATCTGACCTTTTGAAGAAATGGTCTGGATCGATATCCTCCAAGTTGTTCAATATTTTTTAAGTTCAATATCAACCCTGTTATGTCTGGTTTGCAGTGTTGTTACCCCTGAGGTTGTTAATCGTTCCTGGTGTGAAAGTTGACTTAGTTCAGGAATGAGTTTTTTCGCCCGGAGTTGGATTTTCTTCAGATCAGATTTATGTTGATGATGTCTCCATGCTTGGATACAATAATCCAAGTAGAGGAGCACAAAAGATTTATGTAGTGGAATAACTACCTTCTTTTCTCGGAATTCAAATTAAGTTACGTCTGACTTCCTAGAATTTGGTTGGATTTTGTTTTTTTTACCACAGCTCCCACTTAATGTGAAACTTTCAGTGATTTATGCATTTTGACTTCAAGAGACTCGTCTCCATCAATCTGCTGCAAGGTTTGTTGTTATTTAGTAGTTGTGAAGTGCCTTGTTATACCCACATGCAAGGTCTTGCATTTTTTAAATTAAAAAGCATATGTCAATCATCCGATCAATTATGGAGTTCATGTAGATGGTTTTGTAAGCTTGGAAGGCTTGAAAAATTGCAGAACGAAGCCATGAGAATAATCCTTGGGTGCCCTCGTACCACAAAGATACTTAACATGAGAAAGGAACTAAATCTAACCATTGCACAGAAGCCCTCCAGAATTTCTTTATTGAAGGTCAACATTGTTCCAAATTGATAACTAAAACTGGAACTAAACTCAGAATGTATCAGATTTATAATTTGCACCAAGAGAGATAACAACGGCACTTCCTGCACCTTGGGAAATTACACCCATTCCAATTTTAATCCCTCCTTTTCCACCCAAGACGCAAATTAGAAATCAGCCGAAGCTTCGTCTTGAGGCAAAACTCAACACCTTAAGCCATATTGATGCTCTCTCCACAGAGCATTCTCTCTCTTTCAAACCATATACACTGATGGTTCCCAAAGAATCTGCCTTTAAAAGCGAAATTGAGTATAACCTTAGATTGCCAATAAGCAGTCTGAGAGCAGCAGTACACCAAGAACTTCAACAAAATCTTGTAGATATGAGGCAAAGGTAAATCGACATCAGTAATTCCATCTATCATCATACTATGATGCAAGAGGAGCCACACATCTATGGTTCATCCAATAAAATCAGCAGACTTCTCGATGTTATTACTGCTCGGCTTAGACCTGGTTACAAATATTTTTGGGAATTTTCATTATCTGCTGATGAAGATCTGACCAAATGTAAACTGTATCAACAAAATTATTCGCACACCCTCCGTCACTATGTGATGGAGTGCGAAAAGATATGTGAATTCAGACAATTCTATAAAAATGTTCCAGAGATGTGTAAATATTTAATGCACAATAGAAAGTTGTTTTCACATATCCATACATCAAAACATTGATTGTAACCATGATATATATGTGCTTCAGCCTACAGTTTAGACCTATTGTCTTGTGTATGACCCTCTGTCCTGCGTGACAGTGAATACCAGCATTATCCTCACTTTAATAAGACTTTATCAAAATCTTCAGATTAGGCAAAATTGTAATTAATTTTGTCAATAAAGATGTTAATAATAATAATAAACTCAAAATGATCTGTTACCAGAAATCTTTGCTACCTGTAGGTGGTAACTAAGTGATTGTAATCTATCCACCGCTGCCCACTGGATGGGGGGGCGGTGTGCAGGATAAATATATCAATTGTGACACTTAATGTAGAAATTGTACTTGTGGTCGGCCTCGAGCCCATTGATGATGTGACGATGTGCATTGAATTTTGTAACTAGTTCATCAAGATTGTAATTTGCTTAGTTAAATGAATTGTGGGGTTCAGTCCCTGAGCCCATTATGTGCCTCTAACCATTTCCACTACCACCCATAACATGGGTATAGGGTGCATAATAAATGAACTAAACAAAGGCCTGTATATAATTTTCATTACCTACTTTACCATATATATAAGTGTCATCTGCAAATTTCATGATGTGGTTTGAAATATTCTCATCTATGTCATTGATGTACATCACAAAAGAGGGTTGGCCCCAAGATGAACCCTTGCGGTACCCCACTCACCACAATTCTCCAGTCAGATTCATTTCCGTTTAGGACGTTCCTTTACTTTTTGTTTTAACCATGTATCTTCTTATCTCTTGTTTTATCTCTTCTAGTATTCTACGATTTATTCCACTTGCTTATACTCTTCTTGCCGGTCTTTTATGTGACACCTTATCAAAACCTTTAACAACTGGAACAACTTTGTTCCAGTTGTTTGTAACAACTTTGTCTGAACAGCTGGTAACCGTTTCCAAAAATGTGAGCAGGTTTGTAGGGCAGGATTTATTTTTTACAAAATTATGTTACGTTGATGTTTTTATATTGTTCACGGTGAGATGGTGAATAATTCCTACCATTTAGGGAATGGGGGGGGGGGGCGTATTCTATAATTCCATTCACAGAGTCGGCGGGAGTCTAGGTAGGCCTACCTAGGGCATGGAAGGGCTTTCTTCACGGCCGAGGCCCACTTCTTGTGCCCCCCCCCCCCCCCCCCCGCCCAAGGCAGTTCCCAGCATAAGGTGAGTGTTGGGTGTTTCCTGCTCACAATGCAGTGTCTGGCGCCTGGAGATGTAATGAGGGTGTCTGGCGCCTGGAGATGTAATGAGGGTGTCTGGCGCCTGGAGATGTAATGAGGGTGTCTGGCGCCTGGAGGTGTAATGAGGGTGTCTGGCGCCTGGAGATGTAATGAGGGTGTCTGGCGCCTGGAGATGTAATGAGGGTGTCTGGCGTCTGGAGATGTAATGAGGGTGTCTGGCGCCTGGAGATGTAATGAGGGTGTCTGGCGCCTGGAGATGTAATGAGGGTGTCTGGCGCCTGGAGATGTAATGAGGGTGTCTGGCGCCTGGAGATGTAATGAGGGTGTCTGGCGCCTGGAGATGTAATGAGGGTGTCTGGCGCCTGGAGATGTAATGAGGGTGTCTGGCGCCTGGAGATGTAATGAGGGTGTCTGGCGCCTGGAGATGTAATGAGGGTGTCTGGCGCCTGGAGATGTAATGAGGGTGTCTGGCGTCTGGAGATGTAATGAGGGTGTCTGGCGCCTGGAGATGTAATGAGGGTGTCTGGCGCCTGGAGATGTAATGAGGGTGTCTGGCGCCTGGAGATGTAATGAGGATGTCTGGCACCTGGAGATGTAATGAGGGTGTCTGGCGCCTGGAGATGTAATGAGGGTGTCTGGCGCCTGGAGATGTAATGAGGGTGTCTGGCGCCTGGAGATGTAATGAGGGTGTCTGGCGCCTGGAGATGTAATGAGGGTGTCTGGCGCCTGGAGATGTAATGAGGGTGTCTGGCGCCTGGAGATGTAATGAGGGTGTCTGGCGCCTGGAGATGTAATGAGGGTGTCTGGCGCCTGGAGATGTAATGAGGGTGTCTGGCGCCTGGAGATGTAATGAGGGTGTCTGGCGCCTGGAGATGTAATGAGGGTGTCTGGCGCCTGGAGGTGTAATGAGGGTGTCTGGCGCCTGGAGGTGTAATGAGGGTGTCTGGCGCCTGGAGATGTAATGAGGGTGTCTGGCGCCTGGGGATGTAATGAGGGTGTCTGGCGCCTGGAGATGTAATGAGGGTGTCTGGTGCCTGGAGGTGTAATGAGGGTGTCTGGCGCCTGGAAGTGTAATGAGGGTGTCTGGCGCCTGGAGGTGTAATGAGGGTGTCTGGTGCCTGGGGATGTAATGAGGGTGTCTGGCGCCTGGAGGTGTAATGAGGGTGTCTGGCGCCGCCTGGAGGTGTAATGAGGGTGTCTGGCGCCTGGAGGTGTAATGAGGGTGTCTGGTGCCTGGGGATGTAATGAGGGTGTCTGGCGCCTGGAGGTGTAATGAGGGTGTCTGGCGCCGCCTGGAGGTGTAATGAGGGTGTCTGGCGCCGCCTGGAGGTGTAATGAGGGTGTCTGGCGCCGCCTGGGATGTAATGAGGGTGTCTGGCGCCTGGAGGTGTAATGAGGGTGTCTGGCGCCTGGAGGTGTAATGATGGTGTCTGGCGCCTGGAGGTGTAATGAGGGTGTCTGGCGCCTGGGGGTGTAATGAGGGTGTCTGGCGCCTGGGGGTGTAATGAGGGTGTCTGGCGCCTGGAGGTGTAATGAGGGTGTCTGGTGCCTGGAGGTGTAATGAGAGTGTCTGGTGCCTGGAGGTGTAATGAGGGTGTCTGGCGCCTGGAGGTGTAATGAGAGTGTCTGGCGCCTAGAGGTGTAATGAGGGTGTCTGGCGCCTGGGGGTGTAATGAGGGTGTCTGGCGCCTGGAGGTGTAATGAGGGTGTCTGGCGCCTGGAGGTGTAATGACGGTGTCTGGCGCCTGGAGGTGTAATGAGGGTGTCTGGCGCCTGGAGGTGTAATGAGGGTGTCTGGCGCCTGGGGGTGTAATGAGGGTGTCTGGCGCCTGGAGGTGTAATGAGGGTGTCTGGCGCCTGGAGGTGTAATGAGGGTGTCTGGCGCCTGGAGGTGTAATGAGGGTGTCTGGCGCCTGGGGGTGTAATGAGGGTGTCTGGCGCCTGGGGGTGTAATGAGGGTGTCTGGTGCCTGGGGGTGTAATGAAGGTGTCTGGCGCCTGGGGGTGTAATGAAGGTGTCTGGCGCCTGGGGGTGTAATGAAGGTGTCTGGCGCCTGGGGGTGTAATGAAGGTGTCTGGCGCCTGGGGGTGTAATGAAGGTGTCTGGTGCCTGGAGGTGTAATGAGGGTGTCTGGCGCCTGGGGGTGTAATGAGGGTGTCTGGCGCCTTGAGGTGTAATGAGGGTGTCTGGCGCCTGGGGGTGTAATGAGGGTGTCTGGCGCCTGGGGGTGTAATGAAGGTGTCTGGCGCCTGGGGGTGTAATGAAGGTGTCTGGCGCCTGGGGGTGTAATGAAGGTGTCTGGCGCCTGGGGGTGTAATGAAGGTGTCTGGCGCCTGGGGGTGTAATGAAGGTGTCTGGTGCCTGGGGGTGTAATGAAGGTGTCTGGCGCCTGGGGGTGTAATGAAGGTGTCTGGTGCCTGGGGGTGTAATGAAGGTGTCTGGCGCCTGGGGGTGTAATGAAGGTGTCTGGTGCCTGGGGGTGTAATGAAGGTGTCTGGTGCCTGGGGGTGTAATGAAGGTGTCTGGTGCCTGGGGGTGTAATGAAGGTGTCTGGCGCCTGGGGTGTAATGAAGGTGTCTGGTGCCTGGGGGTGTAATGAAGGTGTCTGGCGCCTGGGGGTGTAATGAAGGTGTCTGGCGCCTGGGGGTGTAATGAAGGTGTCTGGTGCCTGGGGGTGTAATGAAGGTGTCTGGTGCCTGGGGGTGTAATGAAGGTGTCTGGCGCCTGGGGGTGTAATGAGAGTGTCTGGCGCCTGGGGGTGTAATGAGAGTGTCTGGCGCCTGGGGGTGCAATGAGAGTGTCTGGCGCCTGGGGGTGTAATGAGAGTGTCTGGCGCCTGGAGGTGTAATCAGGGTGTCTGGCGCCTGGAGGTGTGATCAGGGTGTCTGGCGCCTGGGGGTGTAATGAAGGTGTCTGGCGCCTAGAGATGTAAAAAGGGTGTCTGGCGCCCGGGGGCGGAGGGGTACCGATGGTGTCTGGCGCCCGGGGACATACTCACCTGTCTGAACTAATAAAGATGATTTGAAAGTTGCGTTCACTGTTCTTGATCTTGTCGTAAGCCGTCACCAGCTGGGGGGTGAACGCCTTACATGGCGGACACTGTAACACACATTATACACCATTAAAAAGAATGAAGAAAACCAACAAATAATGAAGATAAATAACACGTGATATAACCATATAAAGATTCTATATCCTAATACAAAATAATGTATATTTTCTTTATATTATTAGTCAAAAAGTAACTAATGTCTACGATGGCAATTATTTGTAAAGCTTTTTTCAACTGATTTTTTTTCAGAAGTATATAGACAGAGCTAGCATGGTGTAATATGAGCCCCTCAATAGTACTAGCATGATTCAGGTAAATGATGTACACGAGTCCTTCAATAGCACTAGCATAATGTAAATAATTTCATCATTGATACATCACATTAATGTGATTTCTTTGTGCATCATTAATGCTACTATGGCTGAGGTTATATATTACGTCCACCTTGTTACTCGCACTCTTCCACAAACATAAATTTTAGCTTATTTCATCTTTCACTCCGGTGGCCTCCACTAGCAGCACTCAAGAGTGTCCAGTGAGTGCACTACTCCAGGTTCGGGCCACGTCGGTAATCATGATGAGCAAACTAATTTAGGCCGCATGGCCACGCGCTGCTGGGAGTGGGAAGATTAGTTAGGACCAGCGACACTGTCCGCGAGGTCCCTCTCCCTGCTACAACACACACACCTCCCTATATCTTACCCAGTGAGCGGAGAAGTAGAGACCCTTGTAGGCGTCCTTGACGGTGTCGTAGGCGACTTCCTGACCTTGGTTATCCACTAACTTGGTGGCCGCCAGGAGCTCCGCTATGGGTCGCGGCCGCCAGGGGAAGGTCAGGGCTTCAGGGTCACTGCTCACCATCTCTCTGCCGGCTTTGGTCAGCAAGCGGCCGCTGCGGCTGTCTAGAAGCACCAGGGAAGGTATTCCTGATACCCGGTACTGGCGGGACAACCGCACCTGAGGAAAGAGAAGGTGCGGTTCATACCTGCATGTTCTCACTTCAAGAGACACGTAACATTTTAAATATTCTCCAATTACCGACTTGGGAGATTAGCCAAGTCGGTGACGTTGCCTTATGATCTAACTTGTTCTCTATGCAACTCTTTTATCATGTTTTATACTAGAATCTGAAATGTTGATTTAGAACGTCATTTACATTAAGTTTTCTCTGAGTTACCCCTTGCTCAATGTCCCTCTGTTTCTATTTATTATTGATTTATGTGTATATATTATTTATATACAAGAACGCACAATGGGTTGTGAACGTACATACATTGGAGGTTGAATGGTATATTCTTGGAAAGTGTTGTACACACAGCGTTTAGGCCAGGTCCTTCAGTGAACCAACAGATGTACCGATAAGTTCATTGAAACAATTTGAATTCATATAATAATTATCTCAGAATTAAGTGACAAAATAAATTATAGTAATAAAGTTGCTTTATATTGTATTCCTAATATCTTTAAGTGTAAATAACTGACTCAGAAAATACTAGCTTGGTAAAATATTTATTGTAAAGAAATGCTTAACAATAATAAATTAATAAACATATGAAAATTAAAAATATAATAAGAATAAAAATATTAATTATAAAAGCAAATTAAACCAAAAAATATATGAAACAATAAAATTACTTCGCAAATAAAATAAACCAATAAACACAACTCGGCATAGACACACACACAGTACATGACAGATATTATGTATTGTGTGTGTATATATGAGGCAGTGTATGTATATTCTCATCCTGTGAGTGGTAGTTATTGTGCACCCCATACTGATCCTGTGAGTGGTAGTTATTGTACACCCCATACTGATCCTGTGAGTGGTAGTTATTGTACACCCCATACTGATCCTGTGAGTGGTAGTTATTGTGCACCCCATACTGATCCTGTGAGTGGTAGTTATTGTACACCCCATACTGATCCTGTGAGTGGTAGTTATTGTACACCCCATACTGATCCTGTGAGCGGTAGTTATTGTACACCCCATACTGATCCTGTGAGCGGTAGTTATTGTGCACCCCATACTGATCCTGTGAGCGGTAGTTATTGTACACCCCATACTCATCCTGTGAGTGGTAGTTATTGTACACCCCATACTGATCCTGTGAGCGGTAGTTATTGTACACCCCATACTGATCCTGTGAGCGGTAGTTATTGTACACCCCATACTGATTCTGTGAGTGGTAGTTATTGTACACCCCATACTGACCCTGTGAGTGGTAGTTATTGTACACCCCATACTGACCCTGTGAGTGGTAGTTATTGTGCACCCCATACTCATCCTGTGAGTGGTAGTTATTGTACACCCCATACTGATCCTGTGAGTGGTAGTTATTGTGCACCCCATACTGATCCTGTGAGCGGTAGTTATTGTGCACCCCATACTGATCCTGTGAGCGGTAGTTATTGTGCACCCCATACTGATCCTGTGAGCGGTAGTTATTGTACACCCCATACTGATCCTGTGAGCGGTAGTTATTGTGCACCCCATACTGATCCTGTGAGCGGTAGTTATTGTGCACCCCATACTGATCCTGTGAGCGGTAGTTATTGTACACCCCATACTGATCCTGTGAGTGGTAGTTATTGTACACCCCATACTGATCCTGTGAGTGGTAGTTATTGTGCACCCCATACTCATCCTGTGAGTGGTAGTTATTGTACACCCCATACTGATCCTGTGAGTGGTAGTTATTGTGCACCCCATACTGATCCTGTGAGCGGTAGTTATTGTACACCCCATACTCATCCTGTGAGCGGTAGTTATTGTGCACCCCATACTGATCCTGTGAGCGGTAGTTATTGTGCACCCCATACTGATCCTGTGAGCGGTAGTTATTGTGCACCCCATACTGATCCTGTGAGCGGTAGTTATTGTGCACCCCATACTGATCCTGTGAGCGGTAGTTATTGTACACCCCATACTCATCCTGTGAGCGGTAGTTATTGTGCACCCCATACTGATCCTGTGAGCGGTAGTTATTGTGCACCCCATACTCATCCTGTGAGCGATAGTTATTGTGCACCCCATACTGATCCTGTGAGTGGTAGTTATTGTGCACCCCATACTGATCCTGTGAGTGGTAGTTATTGTGCACCCCATACTGATCCTCTGAGTGGTAGTTATTGTGCACCCCATACTGATCCTGTGAGTGGTAGTTATTGTGCACCCCATACTGATCCTGTGAGTGGTAGTTATTGTGCACCCCATACTGATCCTCTGAGTGGTAGTTATTGTGCACCCCATACTCATCCTGTGAGTGGTAGTTATTGTGCACCCCATACTGATCCTCTGAGTGGTAGTTATTGTGCACCCCATACTCATCCTGTGAGTGGTAGTTATTGTGCACCCCATACTCATCCTGTGAGTGGTAGTTATTGTGCACCCCATAATCATCCTGTGAGTGGTAGTTATTGTGCACCCCATACTGATCCTGTGAGCGGTAGTTATTGTGCACCCCATACTGATCCTGTGAGCGGTAGTTATTGTGCACCCCATACTGATCCTGTGAGTGGTAGTTATTGTGCACCCCATACTCATCCTGTGAGTGGTAGTTATTGTGCACCCCATACTGATCCTGTGAGTGGTAGTTATTGTGCACCCCATACTGATCCTCTGAGTGGTAGTTATTGTGCACCCCATACTCATCCTGTGAGTGGTAGTTATGTGCACCCCATACTCATCCTGTGAGTGGTAGTTATTGTGCACCCCATACTGATCCTGTGAGCGGTAGTTATTGTGCACCCCATACTCATCCTGTGAGCGGTAGTTATTGTGCACCCCATACTGATCCTGTGAGCGGTAGTTATTGTGCACCCCATACTGATCCTGTGAGTGGTAGTTATTGTGCACCCCATACTGATCCTGTGAGCGGTAGTTATTGTGCACCCCATACTAATCCTGTGAGCGGTAGTTATTGTGCACCCCATACTCATCCTGTGAGTGGTAGTTATTGTGCACCCCATACTGATCCTGTGAGTGGTAGTTATTGTGCACCCCATACTGATCCTGTGAGTGGTAGTTATTGTGCACCCCATACTCATCCTGTGAGTGGTAGTTATTGTGCACCCCATACTCATCCTGTGAGTGGTAGTTATTGTGCACCCCATACTGATCCTGTGAGTGGTAGTTATTGTGCACCGCATACTCATCCTGTGAGTGGTAGTTATTGTGCACCCCATACTGATCCTGTGAGTGGTAGTTATTGTGCACCCCATACTGATCCTGTGAGTGGTAGTTATTGTGCACCCCATACTGATCCTGTGAGTGGTAGTTATTGTGCACCCCATACTGATCCTGTGAGTGGTAGTTATTATGCACCCCATACTGATCCTGTGAGTGGTAGTTATTGTGCACCCCATACTGATCCTGTGAGTGGTAGTTATTGTGCACCCCATACTGATCCTCTGAGTGGTAGTTATTGTGCACCCCATACTCATCCTGTGAGTGGTAGTTATTGTGCACCCCATACTGATCCTGTGAGTGGTAGTTATTGTGCACCCCATACTGATCCTGTGAGTGGTAGTTATTGTGCACCCCATACTGATCCTGTGAGTGGTAGTTATTGTGCACCCCATACTGATCCTGTGAGTGGTAGTTATTGTGCACCCCATACTGATCCTGTGAGTGGTAGTTATTGTGCACCCCATACTCATCCTGTGAGTGGTAGTTATTGTGCACCCCATACTCATCCTGTGAGTGGTAGTTATTGTGCACCCCATACTGATCCTGTGAGCGGTAGTTATTGTGCACCCCATACTCATCCTGTGAGCGGTAGTTATTGTGCACCCCATACTGATCCTGTGAGCGGTAGTTATTGTGCACCCCATACTGATCCTGTGAGTGGTAGTTATTGTGCACCCCATACTGATCCTGTGAGCGGTAGTTATTGTGCACCCCATACTAATCCTGTGAGCGGTAGTTATTGTGCACCCCATACTCATCCTGTGAGTGGTAGTTATTGTGCACCCCATACTGATCCTGTGAGTGGTAGTTATTGTGCACCCCATACTGATCCTGTGAGCGGTAGTTATTGTGCACCCCATACTCATCCTGTGAGTGGTAGTTATTGTGCACCCCATACTGATCCTGTGAGCGGTAGTTATTGTGCACCCCATACTGATCCTGTGAGCGGTAGTTATTGTGCACCCCATACTGATCCTCTGAGTGGTAGTTATTGTGCACCCCATACTGATCCTGTGAGCGGTAGTTATTGTGCACCCCATACTGATCCTGTGAGCGGTAGTTATTGTGCACCCCATACTGATCCTGTGAGCGGTAGTTATTGTACACCCCATACTGATCCTGTGAGCGGTAGTTATTGTGCACCCCATACTCATCCTGTGAGCGGTAGTTATTGTGCACCCCATACTGATCCTGTGAGCGGTAGTTATTGTGCACCCCATACTGATCCTGTGAGCGGTAGTTATTGTGCACCCCATACTCATCCTGTGAGTGGTAGTTTATTGTGCACCCCATACTCATCCTGTGAGCGGTAGCGCAAAAAAAATACAGAAGGCACAATAGGTCTTAATCAGAGGTCAGCGGAGATTTTGACATTGATAATTACATTTAACCTGCACACCATATAATTACAATGTCAGCTAGTTACAAAAATATAAATTCATTACAATATCTATGTATTTCCACGAATTATTATACAGTGATGGTCGATCTTTTGTTAATACATAAAATATTCAGATATGGGATATTACAGAAGAGCTGCTGCTTATTATAATTAGGCTTCCGCTAAACAGCCTATTCATAATCTTATATGAATAGGCTGTGTAAATGATTATCTACTAGATAAATGATTATCTACAATATCAATGATTATCTAGTAGATAATCATTTATCTGTAAGAAGCGAAATATGGATACAGTGGAAAGATTTCAGATATTTTATCATTTGTAATAAGATGGTTTGCCATTTCATACAGCGTGAGTTTAGA